TTGCTGCGCGCGGGCTTTCTCTAGTTGCAGCGAACGGGGGCTACTCTGCGGTGCTCGGGCTTCTCATTGCTGTGGCTTCTCTTGTTACGGAGCATGGGCTCTAGGTGCACGGGCTTCAGTAGTTGTGGTGAGTGGGCTCTGTAGTTGTGGCTCGAGGGCTCTAGAGCGCAGGCTCGGTAGTTGTGGGGCACAGGCTTAGCTGCTTCGCAGCATGTGGGATCTTCCTGGACTAGGACTCGAACCCCTGTCCCCTGCATTGGCAGGCGGATTCTAACCACTGCACCACCAGGGAAGTCCCATAATGGGAGATTTTATTTTATTTTATTTTATTTATTTATTTTTGGCTGTGTTGGGTCTTTGTTGCTACGCGTGGGCTTTCTCTAGTTGTGGCAAACGGGGGCTACTCTTTGTTGTGGTGTGCAGGCTTCTCATTGCGGTGGCTTCTCTTGTTGCGGAGCATGGGCTCTAGGCACGCAGGCTTCAGTAGTTGTGCCACGCGGCTCAGTAGTTGTGGCTCGCAGGCTTAGTTGCTCCGTGGCATGTGGGATCTTCCCGGACCAGGGCTTGAACCGTGTCCCCTGCATTGGCAGGCACATTCTTAACCACTGCGCCACCATGGAAGTCCCATAATGGGAGATTTTAATACACTTCTCCTAATAATTTATAGAACAAACAAAAAAAAACATGCGTTACAAAACTGCAGAACACACACTCAAGAGCACATGAAACATCTGTCAAAATGGACCACACTCTGGTCCACAGCACAGGTCTCAACAAACTGCAAAGGATTAAAATCAGATAGAGTAATCTAGTTGCGTTGGAACTAGGCTAGAAATCAGTACCAAAAGGTAACTAGAAAATCCCCAAGTACAATGGATGTAAAAAATATGTTTCTAAAATCAGCCTTTCGTTCCCCCTCTGTTTCTAATCTTGACCCTTCTCCCTCCAACTTGGTGAAGAGTGACAGAGCTCTTTCTCACATTTCCACAGATTCCTATATTGTCCCAGCTCAAGCATTTACTGAACCCCCTTGCTATCCCCAGCAATTGGCCTGCCTCCCCTTAGGAAGCTCTGTGCTCGTGTACAGTCTGAAGCCAGGTCCCATCCTATGGGTCTGAGGCAAGCTGGGAGCACTTTGCAATCAAATTCTTTTTGTCTGTACTTCTTCTGAAAAAGCAGCAGACCCAAAGCTGGCACCAGGTGCTTTCCAGACACTGAAAAGTTGGGTCTTATGGGCAGGTAGAGAGGCAGTACTTGCTGCACATTGGTTGTTTCCCTACTAGTCAGTGGGCAGATGGTGAGGGAGAAACGCTGGGCAATGGGCCTTGAAGCATCATGCCAGAGACCAAAGGAGGAGCAGGGCCTGGGAAACAAAGTCTAGCTCTTGCTGCTGCCTGCCCTTTCCACACTGCCAGCCTCAGCCTCTTTTGTTATCTACAGGGTTGGGGTGAATGAGGGTTTCTGCCACTTCCTTGAACTTCAGGTTCATTTCTGGCACTAACAAGGACACCCCTAGGACCAAAGGGCAGACTTCTAGGAGCACTGGACAGCATGGTATAGTGGGAATTTGGAGTCGCAGTGACTTTGCTGTGTGATCTTAAACAAGTTATCTAATCTCTCTGAACCAGATAAAGTCCTTTGAATGCAAGTAATTGAGGGAACTCCTAGAACTGATAGAAAAAGGAGGACTAAGCTCAGAACCAGGAGAAGGGTGGAATCCAGGGCAGCTCAGGAGGTCTAGGAAGCAGGAGCTGCTGGATGGTCTCTTTCTGGGGCTCTGTTGCCAGGATGGATCAGCTCCAAGTCTCTGCCTTCTCTGGCTCACTTCCCTCTGCAGCCAAAGTCCTAGGAGAAGCGTCTGGTCCAGTGTAAGTCACATGCCCACCTCTTGGCTAGAGGAAGGCAGGGAGCCTTGGCTGACAGACCCACCAGAGCTACTATGAGGAACAAAGGGATTCCTCCAGAAGAAGCTGGGATGCTGTCACCAAAGGAAAGGCGAGAACAATCAATGAATGTCCATTACACTTTTGTGCCTCAGGTTTTTCCTCTATAAAATGGGAGTTATAATATCTATCTTGCAAGACTGTTATGAGAATGAGTTAATGTAATGTAGGTCATATGACTGGCAGGTACAGGGGAAGGTGATTGATAGAAGATAGATGATGTTATTAATGTCAATACCTACAGCAAGAAAGTGGTGCTGGGGAAAAAAAAAAAAGACCCTGGATTTGGAATTAGAAGACCTAGGTTTGAGTCTGGCTCTGTCACTTACAAGCTTTGGGGCCTTAAGCAAATCACTTAACTTTCTCTGACACTTAGTTTTTCCTTCTACAAAATGGGGATAATAACAATACTGATCTCATAGGTGTTGTGAGGTTGAAACATGTGGAAGCACATACGGGATTCATAATTTCCAGCATCTACAAGTCTTTACAAGGCTCCTTTGTACCTGCAGCTAGACTTTTGTACAGACCCACCTCGTTTTATTGCACTTTACTTACTGCATTTTGTAAACATTGTGTTTTTTACAAATTGAAGGTTTGTGGCAACCCTGTGTTGTCAGATAATAGTTAGCATTTTTTAGTAATAAAGTATTAATTAAGGACTGTACCTTGTTTCTTTAGACACAGTGCTATTGCACACTTAACAGACTACTGTATGGTGTAAACATAACTTTTATATGCATTGGGAAACCCAAAAATTCGTGTGACTCGCTTTATTGTGATATTTGCTTTATTGCAGTGGTCTTGAACCAAACCTGCAATATCTCTGAGGTCTGCCAGTGCTGAATTCCACTGGGGTTGGGGGTTAGGAGTTGAGAATGAATGGGGGAGGACCTTGTTTGCCTTGTTTACTGCTCTATCCCCTGGGCCTAGAATATTCTACACATAGGTACTCCATAAATGTTAAATGAATAGATGAAAGACAACCTTGACATTCAAGGAAGGCCTTAACTCCAAGGCCATCAGAGTGACTCTGATGGAAATTGCAAGGTCCTATGACAGATGAGGATGGAGAACTATTTGTCCTTTAAGTGCTTCTCAAATCACGTGAAGTCTGCTCAGCGCTGCAAAATAGGATCAACTTTAAGCATTGACATCGCAGGCAATGACTATGAATCAAGATTTAGAGGAAACAGATGCCTGAAGATGATCATGGTCCAAATTCCTTAGACTGCCACCTGAAGCTCTTCACCCCCTGGCTCTTGCCACATTTTTTTTCTGCAACTTGCGCCATCCTGCTCTGATCTCTAGCCATCTCAGTGACATGCGGTTCCTGACTGCTTTACTCCACCCCCAACCCTTCAACGCTGCTGAGTCTATTTGGCTAACTCCTGGACTTTTAGCTTTCAGCTTAAATGCCACTCCCTCCAGGAAGTCTTCCTTGATCCACAATCGTAAGACTGGACTAACTGCCCCTCCTCACGCTCCCACAACACCCCGTACTCACCCTCATGGTGGTTCTCACCACTCTGTATTGTAACCTCCTGTTTATTTTTCATTCTTGATATGCTTAGACTTGAGCTCCATGAGGGCAAGTCTTGGTCCTTCTTATGTCCTCGGTGCCTAACTCAGGGCCTGGCCCCTAGTAGAAACTCAGTGAATATTTGTTGAGGAAAAGAGTAAATGAATATGATGTTAAAATCAGGATTTGTAGGGATTCCCTGGTTGTCCAGGGGTTAGGACTCTGAGCTTCCACTGCAGGGGGCAGGGGTTCGATCCCTCGTCGGGGAACTAGGATCCCGCATGCTGTGCGGCAGCCAAAAAAAAAAAAAAAATCAGAATTTGTGAAAGAGTCTGAGAGTGCGGTAGCTTAAGTGTTTCAGAGGTCATTGTCTCTGTAAGATGCTCCCCTCCATGATGTTTTCCTTAAGCCATTTTTCATAATTGTCAGATGATAATTATAGAAAAAATAATTATAGGCTGCCTCTAGCTCCATGCTGCCAGGATTCTCCTGGTTCTCAGCCCTCTCTTTAACATGGCTATCAACCTACTCTGTAATTCCCACCACACCCTCTCCTCTCTCTCTGATTGACTGCACTTACCCTTTTGTTCATATATAATAGAAGTATTTAACTTTTTAATTTAATGTGTGCATTTAATATATACCGTAAACAGCTGATTCAGTCAGGCAGCCAGTTCCTAGAGGGCAGGTGTATCATGCCTTTGTGCAGAGCTTCTCGCATTGCTGTGAGAAAGTGGGTGTGTCCCAGAGGAGATAATGCTTGCGGTTGCTTTGTGCTCAGTAGGACCATAAACACAAGCTGCAACCAATAGAAAAGTCTGAGAGCATTTCATTCCCTACCCAAAATCTACCTCACTGCATTATTCAGCTGGCTTTCTCCCTGGGACCCAGCCATCCCAGGGCCATGCTAGACCACAACGCACTGGTGGACTTTCAGCCAAGGGGTTGGAACTGTTAAGACTGAGGGACCTCTTGGATGTGATTTGGGAAGGGATTCAAAGGATGGCCAAGTGAGAGATCTTCCAGACTTTTTTCTAAGTCACAAAGATAGTAGCATGTAGAAACACCTTTTGTTTTCCTAACTCAATCACGACTGATACACCATCTGTAAGCACCTTCCTTATTGGTTGACATGTTTATTCTCTGTCTCCCCCACCCCCCGGCAGGATGTAAGCTCCAGGGGGGCAGGGACTTTGCTTTATTTACCACTTCATCCTGTACACTCAGAACAGTGCCTGGCACATACCAGGCACTCAGTAAATGTTTCTTGAATGAGTGAGTGGGCTCAGGTAGTAAAACAGTAGGAGACTCCCAGAATCCAGGGAACAGGTGGGAGCTGCTGTGGGGGAAGTGATGACTGTATAGGCACAAAGATGAGAATGAGGGCTGAAATTTATTGGTACTAGGGAAGTAGCCATTGCAATGACAAAGTGACAGTGAGCTGCTCAGCCAGTCTTCTTCTTTTCTGGACATCTGGGGATCAGTAAATCATGGCCAAGTCCAACAATTCTGGACTGTATGGCCAATCTCACAATTCTGGACGGGACACCATGGAATTCCTGGGCCCTTAACAGAGTCCTGGGGAGCTATGCAAATGGCCCAGGGGACTATCCATTGCCAGCATCTCTCTGCTGCTCATGTCGGAGCCCAGAGAAGCCTCTGTTTGGGTGGGGAATGGCACAGCTTGCGTTTGAACTTGCTCTTTCCCTGAAGCTTAACATCTACATGTCCACCTCATTGTCCCAGAATTTATAACCCAAAGTCTACATAGACGTTCCTGTAACCCTTGGTGTCTTTAAACTTGTTGCTGCTCAGATTTGCTTGGATCTGCCTTTGGCCACTCTTGAAGGGGAGAGTCTCCAGAGTGAGGCTGGCTCTGTGATGGGGTTTGAGGACTCCAATGCTGCAGCAGAGAAAGGAGAATGTCAGAAAACCATAGGATTATGATAACCCCACAGTCCCTTTCCACGCAGCAACCAGGCCTCCCCTTTCCCTGTGTCCAGAAAGGACAGTGCTACCCCCAGGATAAGATGGGAGGGAGGGCGGAGCACTTCCAGCACTCACAGGACTCTCTGCCGTCTCCTAAAGAGACCACTTCCTTCCACAGTCAGTACACAATCTTCAACCTGCTCCGAGAGGGGGTTTGAAAATATCGCCTGTATGAAGAGCGGCCGGTTCACAATGGCTGCTCCTAAAGCCTGAACAGGGAAATCCAGAGAGGAGGGAGCAGAGAATTAGTCTCATCCCCCGGTTCACCAAGCATTTATGGAGGGCACTGTTCCCTAGATCTGTTCCTGAAGAGCTGGAGTTCCGTGGCCTGTGTTTTTCCAACTATGGACAACTTAATGGGTTGTCATTAACATTTAAAAAAATGAAATAGAAGAGAATACCAGTGTACATCGCACAAGATATTGTTACATGAAACTTTTACTTCACTTATACATGTATGGGTGTTTGTGTAAAATATTTCTACTCAGCCCAGCATATCGAAAGGTCTGATGAGTTGGGAGTCTCCAGTAATACTTCCTCTGCTCCAAGGATTTCATCCAAGAGTGAAATAAGCAAGAGCTCCCAAAGGATTCTCATGCATAATTTGAGTGGATAGAATATTTTTTGGCAGTTTTTGCTTGTTTCTTCTTTTTGCAATCTGACTCCATCCCTTCCTACCCTCTTACCTTAACTGGCTTGATTTCTTTTCACACTGGTGTGTGAGTCAAGAGCAATGGATCATTCGGGACATAGAGAGAAGGAAGTAGCCTCAGGAAACTTGAAGGCACCTTTGGGAACCCTCCCTAAAACAGACTCCAGTGGCTGGGCTTGCCAGACACACCCCACCAGGGGGCACCCCAGGCTCACTCAACAGGGTCCAGGGGGCTACTTGGCACTGGGGAGACAGCACTGGCAAGAAGGGCCCTGTGAAGTCTCCCCACCAGAATGTCAGAGAAGGAGGGGTCCTTGGAGGCCATCTGGTCTAATCCCATCATTGACAGTTCAAGATGCAGAAGCCCAGGGGCTTGTCCAAGGATGCACAGCCAGGAAATGGCAAATCAAACCTAAGCTGACCTTTGTTCAGGCAGTGCTCTTCCCCCTCTCAGGACCCTCCCATTTGAGCCCGTGTTTCCTCATGTTGACCCTGGGGAAGGCCTCTCATGGTGTAAGAGGATGGAGACCAAGTGTGTTCAGATAAACCTCCCGCTCCTGGTGGGAGGTTCCTGGAGGCCACAGAAGAGGCAGGGGACAGGAGGGGCTGCTCTCCTGAGCAAGCTCTCAGGGGGCTCCCCCACCGCCCCCCGCCCAAGCTGGACCCAAGGAGCCCTCAGGCCACACGCAGGGCTCTTGCCTACATTAATCATGATGCCAGGATAGGCTAAGGTGATGATCTTGTTCACCACGGTCTTCTCGGGACTGCTCTTCTCTTCACCCAGGGCACTGATGCGGATCAGCTTGTCTGTGGACAGGTACTGGCCGTACTGGGGATAGGGGATTTTGCAGGGATAGGTTTTTGCTAGGGAGAGAACACAGGATGAGGTGAGACTCGCTGGGGAAATCAGCTGGGCCTGGGTGGATCTGGGGACCCTTCTGCAGAGAGGAGGGGGCCAACCTGTACTGATCCCCAGTAAAGTAGGTACTCGGTTTTCAGATGGAGGGGCTGAGAGGTGAAATGGCTTGCCCAGGGTCATTCTGCTGGTAAATGGGTGCACTGAGGCTCTAACCAAGGTCTGGATGACTTCAAAGCTCAGGTTTTCCCCACTAACCCAGGGTATATTCCTTGAAGTAGTAAAGAAAGGATTGGAGGAGAAGAAGGAGGAGGACAAAGGAAAGAAACAGAAGGAGGAGAGGAGAAGGGAGGGAGAGGGAAGGAAGGAAGGGAAGGAGGAAGACTCTGTGCTGGAGGGGACACTAGGAAGACCAGTGTCACAGGGGTCTGCCCCCAAACCCTTGTTGGCTGGCTTGACCCCACTGGCATTTCCATAAGCCACTGTGTTCACAGACTGTCCCCATGCCCATACCCAGAGCCCATACCTTCTTCAGGAGAGAGTGTGATGAAGGCTGTGTCCTGCCAGAATGGGGGCAGGGGGCTGCCATCATGCAGCAGAGACTGGGCACTCAGGTTCAATTTGAGGTCCTTGAACTGGGGCGACGTGTTGAGGGCCAGCAGGACAAACCTTATGTCCCGGCCCATGTCGGGTGGGTCGAGCAGCTGGAATTTCAGGGAGACCTGGACAACATCACTGGGCTGAAGGGAAGGCGTAGCAAGGCTCCTAGGACTGTCCCTTGGCAGCGTGGACCTGGAAGTTTGTTTGGAGGGAGCCTTGGGACCTTCCAGGCTTCAGCTTCTGAAGAGCCTTCAGAATCACCTGCCTCTCCCGGAGGGAACCTGGGAGGACAGAGCACAGAATCAGCTGTGGGCCAGGCTGACCCAGAGGGTAAACCTTGGCTGAACACCCTCAGTGAAGGCTCCACCAGGGTGTTAAAACCTTCATTTCCAATAACAAAGGCTCCCTACTAGTCATCAAGTCTTCCCAAGAGTCACACTCTGCTGAGCTCTTACACCTTTCATCTTCATATCAACTGTGAGAGAGATGTATTACTATAATTATTATCATTCCATATACAGATGAGGAAAATGGGGCTCAGAGAGGTCATGTCACTCGCCCAAGTCACACAACTTGCACAGGGCAGAGTCAAGTGGAAACCAAATTCATCTGATGTGATAATCTGTGCTCATGACCATTGGACTCTATCCCGCGTTCCCCAAGGGAAAGATGAAGGCTCACAATGCAGAGGAATAAACCTCTTAAAGACAACAGGACATGGTGTGATTTTCTGCTCCAGGACCACATTATTGGTCAGTTGAAGACTAATTCCTGGAAATTGAGAAACTGAGAAGCTACGGTGAAAAAAAAAAAAAAAGGAAATTCAGGCAAGCCGAGTTTCCAGAGCACCCAGGCTTCAGTCCTGGGCAGGCGCTGTGGCCAGGATGTGCAGAAACACTCATCCGTGCTTCCCTAATAATCCCAGCAGCTGCCTTCACTGAGCACTTGCTGGTCCCCTCAATGCAGCCCCACGATCTCCCCAGGCTGAGGCCACTCTTCTCCCCTCGCTCTGGGGTCATTCTAAGCCTGGATCCAGGCAGAAGAGGATCTTGCAACATTGGCTTCAGTAAGAGTGAGCCCAGAGAGGTGTGAATCAGACTTAGCTCATCTGTGGGCTGCTCGACCCCCAGATTCTGCCAGTCCAGTGGGAGGAGACAGAATGCTATCTGACTGAACAGGACACTCAGGCCCACTGGAAAATAGCTCCAACCACCCCCTGGCCCCCCGGCCCAAGTTCACAGCAGAACCCTGTGGACCTCTGTAGCACATGCTGTCAGTGCCCCACTCACATCTCCTTGGCACTTGCTGTTTCAGTGCCCACGTGCCCTAATTTCAAATTCTAGCACCTGCGGCTCTTTGTGGCTTTCTCTGCCACCAGAGCAGACTCCGCCCATGCGTGGAGCAGGCCAGGAGTGCTAGAGAAATTACGCCCCCCAAGGAGCAGCCCTCAACCCCTGACTGAAAGGAGTTGGTGGATAAAGAGCCTAGGCCCCTTGCCTCGTGGGTGGGATAAATCTGCGGTGTTGTTCTACACTTTAACTAAATCTCTGATAGGGTTGCCAGATTTAGCAAATAAAAATACAGGGCAGTTTCATTTGGATTTCAGATTAACAACAACTAATTTGGGCTATGATTAGACAACAGCATTCTTCATCCTGCATTTTCCCAGGCCACCCCACTGGCAGGGGCCCCAGCAGGACTGAGGCCCAGCAGCCCACGGTGCTAACCACGCCTGACAAGGTGCTCTGCATTGGCTTTCTCCCCTTCCCCGCCTCCCTTGCTCACTCTCCTTCCAGTAGTTTTTTTTTTTTTACATCTTTATTGGAGTATAATTGCTTTACAATGGTGTGTTAGTTTCTGCTTTATAACAAAGTGAATCAGTTATACATATACATATGTTCCCATATCTCTTCCCACTTGTGTCTCCCTCCCTCCCACCCTCCCTATCCCACCCCTCCCGGTGGTCACAAAGCACCGAGCTGATCTCCCTGTGCTATGCGGCTGCTTCCCACTAGCTATCTACCTTATGTTTGGTAGTGTATATATGTCCATACCTCTCTCTCGCTTTGTCACAGCTTACCCTTCCCCCTCCCCATATCCTCAAGTCCATTCTCTAGTAGGTCTGTGTCTTCATTCCTGTCCTACCCCTAGGTTCTTCATGACACTTTTTTTTCTTAAATTCCATATATATGTGTTAGCATACGGTATTTGTCTTTCTCTTTCTGACACTTCACTCTGTATGACAGACTCTAGGTCTATATGACAGACTCTAGGTCTATCCACCTCATTACAAATAGCTCAATTTCGTTTCTTTTTATGGCTGAGTAATATTCCATTGTATATATGTGCCACATCTTCTTTATCCATTCATCCGATGATGGACACTTGGGTTGTTTCCATCTCCGGGCTATTGTAAATAGAGCTGCAATGAACATTTTGGTACATGACTCTTTTTGAATTTTGGTTTTCTCAGGGTATATGCCCAGTAGTGGGATTGCTGGGTCATATGGTAGTTCTATTTGTAGTTTTTTTAAGGAACCTCCATACTGTTCTCCATAGTGGCTGTACCAAATCACATTCCCACCAGCGGTGCAAGAGTGTTCCCTTTTCTCCACACCCTCTCCAGCATTTATTGTTTCTAGATTTTTTGATGATGGCCATTCTGACTGGTGTGAGATGATATCTCATTGTAGTTTTGATTTGCATTTCTCTAATGATTAATGATGTTGAGCATTCTTTCATGTGTTTGTTGGCATTCTGTATATCTTCTTTGGAGAAATGTCTATTTAGGTCTTCTGCCCATTTTTGGATTGGGTTGTTTGTTTTTTTGTTATTGAGCTGCATGAGCTGCTTGTAAATTTTGGAGATTAATCCTTTGTCAGTTGCTTCATTTGCAAATATTTTCTCCCATTCTGAGGGTTGTCTTTTGGTCTTGTTTATGGTTTCCTTTGCTGTGCAAAAGCTTTAAGTTTCATTAGGTCCCATTTGTTTATTTTTGTTTTTATTTCCATTTCTCTAGGAGGTGGGTCAAAAAGGATCTTGCTGTGATTTATGTCATAGAGTGTTCTGCCTATGTTTTCCTCTAAGAGTTTGATGGTGTCTGGCCTTACATTTAGGTCTTTAATCCATTTTGAGCTTATTTTTGTGTATGGTGTTAGGGAGTGATCTAATCTCATACTTTTACATGTACCTGTCCAGTAGTTCTTGAATCTCCTCAGTGATAAACCACTTGTCCTCAGGATCCCCCACCAAAATAGCCACAGAGAGAATGGGGGTGGAGGGGATGATCGCCAGTACCCTTGGATGTGTTCAGTGCTTGTCTCTGAGGCTCAGACTCTGGAGCTCCTCTGTGTTGGCCCCAAAGGCCGACACGGACAAACCACAGACACCCACTTGCTGGCGCTCCCAGGAACCTCAGGTACCCCTGCCCCCGCCCTGTGTAGTCATGAATCACTCCTGCTCGGGTCCTGCCCCTCACCCTGCTTCTGGCCCTCTTGGACTGCATATTTTTGCTTGGCTCCCTGGTGGTTGAAACTGGTGGTTTGTCTCAGTTTCCAGGAATCAGTACAGCTGACTGATGTAGATGCCCCTTGTTCTTGCTGGCTTGGGTCAGAAGACGCTGCTAGGGCTCCCATCTCTCAGAATCATCCTCTGCACAGGGTGGACGTAGGAGTGAACATTTGGCCTTACATGGGCCTCGGTGCTGGCTGTGGTCTGGCCTGTCCTCCAAACACCCAATGAAACGTGAATCAAACAATAAGCTAAATGAAATTAATAAAATTAATAGAGAGTTTACTCAATCCCCTGCCATCTTCAGTGGGAGGCTGATTTTTCGGGAAGGCAGGCTCAAGGAATTCATACACTGTTGATGGGATGCCTGTCAGTGGCCCTGCAATCAATGTGACCATCTTGTGGAGGGTGCTCACTGGCCTGTGGGGAGTGGGGTGGTGGTGGGCATGAGGAAGTGAGGCAGTGGGGACACCCCAACTGGGACCTTAAAACTGAAGGGCTGGGCTTCCCTGGTGGCGCAGGGGTTGAGAGTCCACCTGCCGATGCAGGGGACACGGGTTCGTGCCCCGGTCCGGGAGGATCCCACACGCCATGGAGCAGCTGGGCCCGTGAGCCATGGCCGCTGAGCCTGCATGTCCGGAGCCTGTGCTCCACAATGGGAGAGGCCACAACAGTGAGAGGCCTGCGTACCGCAAAAAAAAAAACACCCAAAAATAACCTGTAGGGCTGAGGAGACAGTGGGCCTGGGTCCTGCCCCTCCACACCCCAGAGGGCTGCCCCAGCTGGCAGAGAGGTTCTCTGGGGTAGTGGGGAAGGTGCCTACAGGGATTGGTCGTACCTTCTCCGTACTTGCAGTTTTCTGTGACGTCATCCCGCTCATCACTCTGGATCCTCTTGGTGCTGATAAAATTGCCAACAGAATTGGTGTCCAGGTGAAGTTTCTGCTCCTTGCCTCCAAAGACCAGCCAGGCCATGCAGTCAGCATTTACCATGGAGAAGGCGAAGGCTGTGTCCTAGTTCAGATCCACCTCTCCTTTGATGGCTCTGATGGAGGCAGGGCCGTAGCAGTAGTGGCCTAAAGGGGAACAGGGGGGCCTCAGTGGGCTGTGGCTGCAGGGCCGGGTGGAGTCAGGTCTGTTTCTGTGGGAGTGGGCTCTGCCTGTCCTCCCAAGAGCCTCACTGTTGCTCATCTCCTGAGGTGTGGTGCCCAGAACCTGCCAGCCTCCGTATCCGGGAAGGAGGTCATTCCGGGCCATCCAGCACTCATTCCAGACGCGGAAATTCCTGAGGGAGAAGCCAGAGGAGTGGGTGTCAGATGAAGCTGAGGGAGAGTTTATGATGCTCAAGTTCTTTCTGGAGCAAGGCAGGGGGCGATGAGTGATGGACGGCTAGATAGAAAGACAGGGCACTGCAGGCCTGCACCCCTCCGTGGGTGACAGGTGACCGCTCTTCCTCCTGTGAGCCTCAACTTGCCCGGAAAAGAGCTTTCCTCTCTTTGTAAATAAGAGTGAAGGTTTCCAGAGGCAACGGAAGTTAAAAACTCTTCACTGTCTCTCAAAGAGACCCTTGTAGCCCTTTCCTGTATGTGCTGCTGACTCACAGAAGCAATCACAGAGGCAGAGGTTTTTTTGTGTCCAGAGGTGAGACTTCAGGCCCTCCTGTGGTCAGAGCCACAGGCTGAGTATTAAATGAAGGAGGTGACAAAGGGGAAAACTCCCCCAGGGCAGAGAGCTCTTGTGATGTGACAATTCTAGACTCAGAAAATCATCGTATTTGTGTTCAGCTGCCTCCCAGCCTTCGGGCTGGGACTAGCAAGCCCTGGGGCTGGTGAAAATGGGGGTGAGGCATGAGAGGGCAGCAGGCTCGTAGGTACAGTCCTGCCCTGCTTCCTGCTGGTAGGGTTTGCCCTAGAAAGAGAAGGTGTCTCTCACCAGACACTGTCCTTCTTCTTACTCTCCAAAATCCTGCCTGTGTTGTCATAACACTCATCTACGATCAGGTTTCCGTCTGTGTCGTGGCCAGAGTCAAAGTTGGTGATTACTTGGGTGGGGATCCCCAGGCACCTCATCACTGTAGAAAGGACAGAAAAATCTCCTGTGGGCTGTGGATTCCTGGACTTAGTGCCCTTAGGCTCAGGGAAATCATGCATTTGGCAGGCAGGAGCTGTCTGGGGCACTGGGTTGGCGACACTTCCAACTTCCCTCCCCACCTTCCTGAGCTCCTCTCCCTGGGGCTCCACACAAAGGTTAGGCAGCTGGTTGCTCAGACAAGCACTGCCAGGGCCAAGAGAGGGTCTAGCAAGTGTTGGGTTCCCCTGCCCCAGCCAGCAGGGTGGGAGAGCCATGCCTCCTTTGGCAAGACTCAGCAGCTTGACTTGCCTCACTTCTCTCCTGGCCATAAGTATCTATCTTCAAACCAAACTGTGGAATTTTTTTCACTCCTGTGGTAAGGAGTAAGACCATCAGATTCTTAGACAAAGAGTTCTGCCGCTTGGATTCCCCCTTCTCTATGGGTGTACTGACTTGGAAGCTTATTGAGGAAAGTATTACAGATCCAGCCAGGAAGGGAAGGAAACTGTAACAAAAGCCTAGGAAAGTGAGAGTCTGTACCTAATGGAGAAATTCTTGAAAGGAGGTAGAATGTTGTCTTTATTCCTGAGGGGCCATCCCTTTCCTTTGCCAACCAGCTTCTTTTCTTTGCCCTCTGCCATATTTTTCGTGATTCTGCACTCTTTTGAGAATAGCAATATCCCCCGGCGCATCCCACCACCAATCCCCTGGGGATCCTGTCCCCTCAAGTCCAATGGTGACAGTCCACCTAATTCAATAATAATGATAATGATAACAGCAGTGTCTGCCAGCCAGGCATGATGCTAAATGTTTCACATGTACTGTGCTCAGGACAGCTCTACACGGAAGCTGCTGTTATTACCCCTGTTTTACAGATGAAGAATCAGAGGCTAAGAAAAGTTTGCTACCTTGACTAAAGCCACACAGCTAGGAAGCGGCAGAGCTACCACTCAAATCCTGGTTTCACTGCTAAGCTTGTCGCCAGTTCTGAGCCCACCTCCCACAGGTGCACAGAGTTCAGCATTCTAGTATTTTCCCCTTATTATACAACCCACCCATTTTTCCATGTTATCAAATATTTTCCAAAAGCAAGATTTCTAGCAGAGGTTAATTTTTTTTACAAAGTCAAGAAATTTAACATGGATTTAATAGTATAAAATCCATCTTTGCATTTTCCCAAATGTCTTTTATATCTGTTTTTTGCCCCCCTGTCCAGAATCCGATCAGAATACATGCATTGCATTTGCTTATATCTTTCCAGTTCCTTTTAAACCAAAAGAATCTCCTTTCATCTAGAACAGTCTTTTAATAATTTAGGTCACTTGATTAGTAGAAGGCCCCATATTCTGGATTTGCCTAATTGATTCTTCTTGGTTAATTTCAGAGTTAACATTTTTGACAAGAATACTGCATAGGTGATGTTGTGTAAATCCCTCTGAATCACATCAGAAGGCACAGGCTGTCCATTTGTTATACTAATGGGGGCCTAAGGGGGGCCTAATGGGGGCATTTAACTATTTGATTAAGGTCAGATTAATGCCCGATGGAAGTATCCTTTCCCTGTCATTGATGATCCTTGCCTGAATTAATAATTATACTGGTGGTACCAAAATGATTATATTCTAACACTATCATTTCTTCTACCTGTATTAGCTAGCATTCTTCTATAAAGAAAAGCATTTCAATCCCCCTGTCCCATTTTTTGGTATTGTTATGGGTTCATGTATTTTTTTTTTCACTTCAGCAGAGGTTATTTTTAGACATTTGCTTGGTTTCTAATTTTTCCCCTGTTGTAAATAATACTGTGATGGACATCTCTGTAGATCAATTTCTACTTTTCCCCCTTTGGGACAGATTCCAAGAGGTAAAATGACTGAGTCAAAAAATACAGATATTTCTAAGGGTTCTTCACAAATACTACTGTCATAGTAAAATGTTTATAATTTTTAGTTTAGATACTTATTTATATTAAGCATTTATTTGCTTATAGATTTTAGTTTAGGCTCCTTCTTATACTTTGGCACAAAGCCCTTCCAGGCTGGGGTGGGGACACATCCCTGGATGCAGAGAAGCGCAAAGGGGGAGCATGCACTTCCTTGGAATGGCAGGTCTGCACAGGTCTGCAAGGAATGGAGGGCAGGGAGTGAGCAGAGCTGACAGTGAATTGTAGGTGGAGGTGACACAGGACCGCCTCGGAGGGGAGGGTGAAGGTGGGAAAAGCTGCCACTGAAGGAGCATGAGACAGGAGTGAGGCGAGAGCATGTAAGTGACTCAGGAGCATTGCATGGGCACATTTATGTTAAGATTACAGTCAGGAGGGTGTGTAACACTTATGGTAATAAGAGCACATGCCAAGGAGGGGTGGGCAGGGAGAGCAAAGAGCAAGCCTCCATTCTTCACCATGATTGATGAATTCATGAAGTGCCAGTGGTGTTGTCACCTCCTGCTAGACATGGGGGGATGGGCACTTTTCCACCTGAGCACAGGTCATTGGTCTCATGGCGCTCTGAGTTCTCTACTAGACATGGTACATGGTGTGTAATGATTTGTTTATGAGTCTGTCTTCCTGAGGGCAGGGATTGTGTGATAGTCAGCTTTATCGTTATACAACCATTAACAATACAAGGCAGGTCTGTATTGCAGAAACGTAGTGGATCTTTGCTGGATGGGTGAATGAATGTCTTGAATCTTTTGTCTATTCTGGTGATTTCCGACTTCAGCACAGCACCGTCACTGTGTGCTGTGCTGTGGTTACCAAGCTTGATTGTCTGTAGAGCATAAGCTTTGAGTGGTAATGGATTTGCACTGATCCATTCTCACCATTTCCTCATCGTACCTTGTGAGAGGACTGGGATAGGGGACAACAGCTGTCGCAGTGAGGCAACAGAGGGACAAGAATTGTTTCTTACATAAGGAGAAGGCCAAGGTTGTAGCTCCGGTATCACACGAAGGGAGCTGACAGCATTCAGATCTGCACAGTTGTGCACATACATGTTTCACGGGGTTTTGCCCCCTCTGTCCTGCTTTCTCTGTACCCCCACAAAGAGCTCCTCCTGTCTTGTGGCTTCATCTCTCACTCCTTGCCCACGACTCCTGAATTTGAATCTTGAGCCTACATGGACACCTTGCCGTCACTAAGCACATCCCCAACCGAGCTTGTCTTTCATTCTTTCCAAGCTTCCTTGCCAGTCGATGACATCATCATCCTCATAGGTGCCAGGCATGGTGCCAATCACTGCACAGGCATAATCACACTTAATCCTCTCCACAGCGCTGTGATTATCCCACCTTTGAAGAGGAAAAACCTGAAGTTTAGAGAGGTTGAGGTCACATGGCAGGAAGAGGAGAGCCAGGGCAGGATTTAAACCCACATTTCTCTGATCTCAAAACCCCTCAGGCTTTTAACTACAAGCCACCCCACTGCAACTTCACTAGACGTCCCAGCAACGCTGGGAAGGCATCATTCTCAAAGCGCCTTCCTCTGTGAAGTTTTCACTGACTACTCCATGCCACACTAATCTCCCTTCCCATGCTCTCACTTGATTCCAGTCACCAATGCCACACATTTTATCAATGCATGAAGCTCTCTATGATCTCATGTATTTATCTTATCTTGTCAGCCAGATTACAAATCCCCCTAGAGTAGGGCTCAGATCAAATACTTTTGCGTTTCTTCATTCCTAGCACAGTGCTGCCCAGAGTAGATGCTCATTAAATTCATGTTGAAGTGAGTTTTCTTTAACCTCACTTCTGCAGGCTATCAGTCCTGATGCCTCAGTTTGACATGAGACTCACGTGACTCTTTCATGGATAATTCGGTGGGAGCTGAGTCCCTCATAAAAGAGAAACCCTTATGGGGTGTGTGTTTGTATGTGTGCACACACATGCATACACATTCACACAGTTGCACATGGACAAAGGTGGACAAGATCTCAGAGTCAGGAAAAGGACTGCAGAGTTCCTAAGGTATATTAGGAACCACACTCCTGGCATTAATTACTATATCTCTTCACTCAGCCATTCAGCACTCATTCAAATGAACTTATTTACAAAACAAAAATAGACTCACAGACAGAGAAAACAAACTTATGGTTACCAAAGGGGAAAGGGAGGGAGAGGGATAAATTAGGAATTTGGGATTAACAGATTCATACTACTATATATAAAATAGATAACCAACAAGGACCTACTGTATAGCACAGGGAACTCTACTCAATATCTTGCAGTAATCTATAAGGGAAAAGAATCTGAAAAAGAATATATATATATGTATAACTGAATCACTTTGCTGTATACCTGAAACTAACACAACATTGTAAACCAACTACACTTCAATTTAAAAAAAGCAGCATTGGGACTTCTGCTGGTGGCACAGTGGTTAAGAATCCACCTGCCAATGCAGAGGACATGGGTTTGAGCCCTGGTCCGGGAAGATCCCACATGCCATGGAGCAACTAAGCCCATGCACCACAACTACTGAGCCAGCGCTCTAGAGCCCACAAGCCACAACTACTGAAGCCTGTGTGCCTAGAGCCCGTGCTCTGCAACAAGAGAAGCCACCACAATGAGAAGCCTGTGCACTGCAATGAAGAGTAGCCCCGCTCACCACAACTAGAGAAAGCCTGAGTGCAGCAACAAAGACCCAATGCAGCCAAAAAATAAATAAAATAATAAATAAATTTATATTTTAAAAAAGGCAGTATCAGGCTAATTGTGTAATAGCTAACACATGTCAATCTCGGCATGTGCCAGACATTTTCCCAAGTGCTTGCCATATGTTAACCCACCACCCTGCGAGGGAACATTCCATACAGTCCTTGATGTCTCATAAATCAGTGGGGAATAACAGTAGATTCATACTTAAGCCAAAGGTTGAGGCAAAATAATGTGCCAGGACCTTGGCTGGGGTTCCTTCTTTGAGAAGGAAGGGCTCAGTAAAAACAATGAGGACTAGAGTTATTGTACTGAAATGAAGATAATGAGACACTTCATAGAGACCACTATACAACTGAGTGAGAAGAAATCTTAGATGACTTCTAACCCAAGGGTGTTCACAATGGTTTTAAGCAGAGGACTCTACATGCGAGCCAGATCATTGGGAATCCAGTATGTAAAAGATGTACGTGTGGGGTCGTTTTGGGTGCCCTAAGCACACAGCCTTCTCATCTCCCAGGCTATTTCCCACCACCCTCCTCTGGGGCTCTGGGCCCAGGACCCTACTTTACAGAGGAGGGGATGATGCCCGTAGGCCTGCTCAGAATCCCAACCCTCAAGCCCAAGTCATGGCTGGCCCCACCCCACCCCCTGCAGCTGTGGGCAGGGACAGACCAGGCACATCCCCAGGATGCCTGGCTTTTCTTTTTTAAACAGTTTTATTGAGATACAATCCACATGTCACAAAATTTACCCTTTTAAAGTGTACAATTCAGTGGTGTGTAATATATTCACAGGTTGCATAACAATCTCCACTGTCTAATCCCAGACCATTTCATCACCTCAGAAAGACACTCAATGCCCGCTAGCAGTCACTTCCCATTCTCCCGTTCCCCCAGCCCTAGGCAACCACGAATCCACTCTCTGTCTGTATAAATTGGCCTATTCTGGGCATTTCACATATATGGAATCATATAGTACCATAGGCGGCTTTTTGACGCCTGGTTTTGGGGAGAATTTTCAGGCAACAGAACATCACTGTCCCTTCTGTTCCCTTGTTACAGAGCAAGGCATCCAGGCTACTTCACAGACCTCAGGGCTGAGGGGTCTGACGTTGTCACAAGGAGTGGACGGCCAGGACAGGAAAAGCCTAATGACTGAGAGAGACCTATGGAGCAGTCAGACATGAGCACTGGAAGGAGGGTAGGTCAGGGATTTCTCTGAAATTCCCAAAGTAACAGCCAAGTAAATTGATGTCAAGGAAACATCTGACCAAAAAATTATAATCGTATCTTTGATGCACGGAAAATCTCCTTTTTGTGATTTTTCTTTAGGAAGCTTGAAGTCAATATGCTGTTGTTATTAAAACAGGTAATACAGGGAGGAAGAGTTGCAGAGGGGAGAATGCACTTCTGAGTCAGACTGGAGTCACGTGGTCACCTTAAGCCTCAGTTTTCTCATCTGTAAATTGTACTTAATGATACCTACTTTGCAGATGGCTGTGAGCATTGTAAAGTACCCAGCATGTGCCTTAAGCACAGGGGATGCTGGCTAAATGGCAGCTGCTAGCATCGTTCATGCAGCAGTATAGTTTAGTGGTTAACAGCCAGCCAGACCTCAATGTGAGACTAGCCCTGCCACTCAATTTCCTCATCTGTAAAATGGAGATAATGATAGAACCTACCTCTAAAGCTCTTCTGGGGACTCAAACAAGGTGATCCTGGTTAGAACTTACTGAATTCTCACTGTAGCCAGACATTATTCTAAGCACTCTCCATGTATGAACTCAGTCAATCCTTTCAATAACCCAACGAGGTAGGTACTATTAATTTCCCCATCATATGTCTGAGGAGACTGAGGTACAAGTTAAATGACTTGCCCAGCGTTACTCAGACAATTAATGGTAGTGCTGGTATTTGAACCCAAGCTTCACCATTACTCTAGGCTGTCAAGGTTTTAGCACAATGCCTGGCACCAAGGAAGTCCCCAGTGTCAGCTATTGTGATTGTTAAAGAATAACAATAATAATAATTTTTAACAACATGCTTTGGCAACTGTATTGGATTAAGGAGTTTGACTAAATCCTTGACTTTTAGTGGAGGATTGAGGCTGGGTCTTACCCGTCTTTATAACCAAGATTATTAGAAGCACAGTGCCTAGCATAAGGACTCAGTGTGTGTTGTTGGATGAATGAATGAGTTTTCCAAACTGATAGACATATTTATTAATGTAAAACATGGTGGCCCTGTTGGGGAAGGCTGGTATTGATGGAGCTGCAGGTGGACCTGGCCACGTTTGACCCACTTTGCCCAACCCTTTGCTTCCTAGGTCACTAAAGCGCCGTGATTCTCATAAACATTTTAATTGGCCTGCTCTCATACCATAATCTCCATTCACTGGCTCCATCTCTCTCACCAACCAGTTCCAGACAACCACACCCAAACCCCTGACCCTCTCCTTCTACACACACGCACCTGGCCCATTAGACTCTAGGCTCTTCCAGGCCCAGGAAGCCTCCCTCTCTAACATATACAAGATTGATCCATTCTCTGCCTTCAGTCTTACGCCTGATCCCTGGATGACTCAGACATCCCAGTTCACCCAAATGTCTGTGACTCTGGGCATCAAAGCTGTCAAATTCCTGGTTTCTTACCCCTGGGCAATCAAGGCATCCAACTCCAGATGGGGCTGTGCAGCTGCAGAGGAGTAGCTCCCCCTCGCCAACCCATATGAAGTCATCCTGTGTGGGTGCTGACAGAAACCTCCTGGTGCCCTTGGACAGGGGGCTGACATCTGCTTCTTAGCAGCCTGGGGCTCCACAGGCTTCCTGCGAGAGCCTGGAGATGGGTCCAGCGCGCGTGCGCGCGCGCACACACACACGCACACTGCACCAGCCTTTGCATACAGGGAATTTATACACAAAAGGCCTGAGCCCTCAATAAACACCAAGTTGTGAGCAGATCTGGCTTCCCTGGATTAGACTAGAGAGTCTTGTGAGAAAAAGCCATACTTGACCTCTTTGCCCAGCCAACAAGAATAACTTCCTGATTGTGGCCCAAGGCAGGTACATAGATACACCTGCCAGAGGGCGGAGAGCCGGCCTAGGCCTGGGGGCAGGGTGAGGACCAGAAGCAAGTGTGGCCCTGAGTGAAGCAGAAAGCCTCCTCTTGCTACCTGCAGTATATAACTCATTTCCAGGTGTGCCCTCCCTCAACAGCCTCCTCCCCTGCCTTCAGCTTGCTCCTCTTGTCACCAGCAAACCAATTTCCAGTTGCCCTCTTTCCCAGTACCAATTTTTAAGCTTTTCTTCTACTAATGTAGCATTCACTCCCTCTCTGAGAAGCTGATCTCCCTTGGTCCCCCTTCCCCTGACTCCCTGGGCTGAATCAGGCCTCCAGGGCCCTCTGAACATGTGACAACTCTAGATTCAAGGTCATTGTTCTTCGTCTGCCATCTTGCTCTGGCCCCGTGGCCCATACCCCTGCTCAGACACACCTTTCCCTCCCACATATGCATCTTCATCAAGCGCATTCTCTGTGCTCAGAAAGGACACTAATCAGTTTGTAAGTTTTCTAATTACTTGGCCTCTCACCTCATTCCTGTCTTGGACCTGGACAATTCCTAGCCAGGCTCTTAAGAGGATTCTGTTAGGTTTGTCCAAGTTCAAAAGAAGGGAAGGGCGCCAGGTTCTGAGAAGTGTGTGGTTTCCCCCTCAGAACCACCCTCTGAAATGAGCTCAGATATGTGAAGCCTGAGGTCACTGATGAGACGTTTTGCTTCCTTGCAAATGTCCCTTGGTGTGAACTGTGTGAGATTTCTGGGACAAGAATTGTTCAGAGGGTTGCGACATGAGCCATTGTATTTTTTGTCTTTCCATGAGGCCCTTTCCACTCCCTACCTGTGCACATGACAGCGGCAAAGACCCAGCACTGCCCGTAGCACACTGGCTGGCAGACTGTGGCATGCCACTGCTTTAGGATGGCCACGCTGCCCGTCCACTCCACGGGGTTGATGCCGTCTGAGTAATTCTCGCTCCAGTCTCCATTGAGCACCCCACGGTCATCGTTGCTGTTGATCTGAAGAGAAGCCATATGTAGAAGCATTAGAAGCAGCCTTTTCCTCAACGAGATGTGAGGTGTGGGTTGCCTTTGCAAGGACCCTGGGCCTGAGATGCAGGAGGCTTTGATCTCATTTTACCTGCTGGGGAAGGGGTGAGGGTGGGAAGCCAGCTATTCTGACTTGTGTACCACTGTTAATTAGTTTATTATTCTGTTTCTACCCACCCTCTTAACCCCTCCATGCCCCATCCCTGCAAAGCCAGAGCTTGGCTCTAAGAGCAGAAATTTAGAAACAACGAGACCATTTCCCAAACCAGAGCTACACTTAGTCTTTCCCAAAAAATGCAATTTGGAATTAATGAAGGTGATGGCCCACACCCAGCTCTTTCAGAGCTCAGCTGAGAAAACCTGTTACCCACATTCTTTCATCAGTCTCATCAAAAATGGCTTTGCTGGAGGGCCTCTGCCTCTCGACTCTTCATTCGCTCACTGCAGGGGCAACCGTGAGTGGGCAGGGCTCCCCTGCACAGCTTCCGCCCTCCCTGGACATGCCCTGGGTGGGCAGAAAGAGACCCAGCCTCCCCATGGCACACACCACTCTGCTGATGTGGACGGGGCTGCCCCGCAGGGCGTAGTCTGTGGCTAGGTCAATCTGGAAGTTCAGGCTCTTTTCTAGCAGCTCCAGGCAGATGTCTATGATATTCTCTTCCAACTGCGAGAGGAGATGCAGAGAGGCAAGGTGCCCAGACTTGGCACACGTGATATGAAAAGAAATGCATGACCCACCCCTCCCAGCTGTCCAATGGAGTGCGTTTGTGGAATACAAGCCCATTTGGAAGGAAACTGTGTCTAGCAGCACAGCTATGGACTGCACTGCCTCTGGGGCAGGTACAGGGTCTCAAAGCTCTGGGGTCACAACTCACCCAGTTTGTAGGTCCTGCCTGTTAAATTCCCGTAGTTTTTCCCAATGAGTCTGACTGGCTGGAACATTTGTTTCTCCCTCTTCTCCCCTTTAATCCCACACTCATGGAGCTCCTGGGATGTTCTTGCTAAAGCCACGTTGCCTCATCGTCCACCCGCACCTGCTGACCCAGCTCATCACTGGCAGCTAGTGCTGAGGTGATGGCCCCGACTTGCCACGGCACCTGTGATCCAGTGGGGCTTTGGATTGACCAATAGCATGTGAGTTATGGAAAATTTTTACCGAAGGCAGGCTGACTCCGTATCCTTCAGGCTTGTCATGAACGCCACTTCCTCTGAGGCTTTCCGTGAGCCAGGTTTTTCTCCACGGCCCTGGCCACGTCTCTTACTCATCAGACCCTGTTACAATGCGGTAGCCAAGGTCTGTCCTGCCTGCCTGACTGTATGCGTGTTTCTCTCCAGTTGTTCTTACAACTCTACCCCCAGACCTGGCACAGTGCCCAGCACATAGTAGTGACTCTGTGCATCTTCGTTGAATGAGAGTAAATGACAGTGTTCCATTTATTCCCATGGTACACTGGGCAATAATCAGGATTCGGAGGCTTCTCTGATCCATTATCCCCAGGGGACAGTTTGATCGGCTCACTTTTCCGCTTTAAAATGTTCAACGGCTCCTGTGGCCTACAGGATCAAAGCTGTAACCTCCTCTACAAGGTGCATAAGACCCTACCTGATCTGGCCCCAGCCTCATGTCTTAGTAACCCCCCGCCGCCTCACCGTTTTTTGCTCCAGCAACACCAGATTCCTTGTAACCTCTGCAGCAGGCCAGACCCTTTCTCACCTTTGTGTCTTTGCCCACACTTCCCTCTGACTGGGATATTTTCCCCCTCCTTCACTTGGCTAACTCAGTTCAAGCACACCCTCTCCCAGGAAGCTTCCCTGGCACCCCCATGCCCAGCCGAGTGCTCTTCCTCCAGGCTCCCAGAACACCCTCTGCCTGGCGCTCAATCTTTACATACCCCACTGCGTAATAAGCGACCTGCTTATGTGACCAAGTCCCCACTTTACTGTGGGCTCAGGGACAGTGTTTCATTCATTTTCATGCTTCTGGCACCCAGTGCCTTGCCTAGCACTGAGCAGGCATTCAATATACGTTCACTGAAGAAGAGAGAGAGAGAGAGAAGAACCCAGGGCTCAGAAGGCATCAACTCCTCACTTCCAGGATCCGCATCTGCCCATGGTGAGTGAGGAGCTGGGGATGTCAGTTGGGACCAGTTGAGGCTGCCATGTCTCATCTTGACTATAGCCACCCCAGGGGCCGAGGCTAGGCCTGATGCTACATGTGTTGGAGTTCTATTTGGGCAAGTCCAGGAGAGGGACCCATATTAAACTGATACAAGCTCTACAAGCCCCCTGCTCAGGATTTTCCAGCCAACACCCCTTCTGAGCAGCCAGAGCTGGCCCTCTCCCCTGCTACTCTGAGAGTGTTTTTGTGCTGGGGCTCAGCCTTAAGAATCCTTTCCCTGGCCTGGCACTGGGCTTCCTGCTGTCGGCTGAGCTTTCAGTGAGAGGCAGGCTTTCAGTAACACAGGAGTTGCAGAGCATTGCAATTAATACGATGCAATTTTTACAAATAAAATCGCATGTTTTAGAATATGCATAGAAAACAAAATGTAGAGGAACACACATTTTGCTGGTGACAGTGCTTAGAAAGACCTTCATATTCTAGGCACCTATTTTTGTAATGTTTCTCTATAAAATTTTTAAAGCAATTATGTATTACTTCTTAAAAATTTTATACCAATTTTATTTTTTATTGTAGTTTAGTTGGTTTACAATGTTATGTTAATTTCAGGTGTATAACGCAGTGATTCAGTTATATATATATATATATCCTTTTTCAGATTCTTTTCCCTTATAGGTTATAAATTAGGACCTTGGGATTAATATATACACACTGCTATATATAAAATAGGTAACCAACAAGGACCTACTACATAGCACAGGGAACTATACTCAATATTTTGTAATAACCTATAAGGGAAAAGAATATGTATTACTTTTTAAATTTTTTTGCCTGTGCCCCATGGCATGTGGGGGTCTTATTTCCCTGACAAGGGATGGAACCCATGCCACCTGCAGTGGAAGCATGGAATCTTAGCCTGAATCTTAGCTTGCTTCCTGGTGTGGTTCCTGCTGGGTTCCTCATACCCTTTGTGGTTCATGCTGGGTTCACATCCCCTTTGAGATGTGGGCCCTCTGGTTTGAGGTGGTTCCTGTTGGGTTCCTCACCTTTTTATGATGTGGGCCCTTCGGTGTGACATCGATCCTGCGGGGTTACTCATCCCCTTTGTGATGTGGGCACTCTGCTGTGAGGTGGTTCCTGTTGGTTTCCTCACCTTTCTGTGATGTGGGCCCTCTTGTGTGAGGTGGTTCCTGCTGGGTTCCTTATACCCTTTGTGAATGGTGGTTCTGAAGTGGTTCCTGCTCTGTTGCTCATCTGCTTTGTGATCTGGGCCCTGTGGTGATAGATCATTCCTGCCTGGTTCCTAACCCCTTTGTGCTGTGGGCCCTCGGGTTTGAGTTGGTTCCTATTGGGTTAGTCAGCTTTTTATGATGTGGACCCTTTGGTGTGAGGTGTTTCCTTCTGGGTTGGTCATCCCCTTTGTGATGTGAGCCCTCTGATTTGAGATGGTTCCTGTTGGGATGATCACCTTTTTATAATGTGGGCCCTTTGGTGTGAGGTGGATCCTGCTGGGTTCCTCACACCCTTTGTGATGTGGGCCCTCTGGTTTGAGGTGGTCCCTGTTGGGTGGCTCACCTTCCTGTGATGTGGGCCCTCTTATGTGAAGTGGTTCCTGCTGTGTTGCTCATCCCCTTGGTGATGTGGGCCCTCTGGTGTGAGGTGCTTCCTGCTGGTTTCCTCATCCCCTTTGTGATGTGGCCCTTTGGTGTCAGGTCGTTCCTGCTCGGTTTCCACCCCCTTTGTGATGTGGGCACTCTGGTGTGAGGTGGATGCTGTTGAGTACCTCACCTTTCTGTGATTTCGGTCCTCTTCTGTGAGGTGGATCCTGCTGGGTTCCTCATACCGTGTGTTATGTGGGCCCTCTGGTGTGAGGTGCTTCCTGCTGGGTTCCTCCCACCCTTTGTGATGTGGGCCCACTGGTGTGAGGTGTTTCCTACTGGGTTCCTTATCCTTCTGTGATATGGGCCTCCGTGGGTGAGGTGGTTCCTGCTGGGTTCCTCATACCCTTTGTGATGTGGGCCCTTTGGTGTGAGGTGCTTCTTGCTGGGTTCTCATCCCCTTTGTTATGTGGGCACTCTGGTGTGAGGTGGTTGCTGTTGGGTACCTCACCTTTCTGTGATTTGGGCCCTCTTGTGTGAGGTGGATCCTGCTGGGTTTCCATCCCCTTTGTGATGTGGGCGCTCTGGTGTGAGGTGGCTCCTGAGGGTTCCTCACATTTTTTGTGATGTGGGCCCTCGGGTGTGAGGTGGTTCCTGCTGGTTTCCTCTTCCCATTTGTAATGTGGACCCTTTGGTGACAGGTGGTTCCTGCTCGGTTTCCATCCTCTTTGTGACGTGGGCACTCTCGTGTGAGGTGTTTCCTATTGGGTTGCTATCGTTTCTGTGATATCGGCTTCCTTATGTGAGGTGGTTACTGCTCGGTTCCTCATACCTTTTGTGATGTGTGCCCTCTGGTGTGAAGTTGTTCCTGCTTTGTTGCTGCTCCCCTTTGTGATGTGGGCCCTCTGGTTTGAGGTGGTTCCTGTTGGGTTCCTCACCGTTTTATGATCTGAGCCCTTTGGTGTGAGGTGGTTCCTGCTGGGTTCCTCATCCCCTTTGT